AACAGGAAAAATGAATTAGGAAGAAAAGATAACAATTCTTTTATCAACTTCTTTGCAAGCTGGTATTTGTAATACTTTGCATAGTTGATAAAATATGGTTATTTGCAAGATCACTCCTTCCATGTATTTTATTTTGCATTTACTGGTCTCTTCATAAAATAATTGAGTAATAACAATCTCAGTTTGCAATTATTGCACACATAAACATTTATTTTAGCCAATAACTAGCCTCGACTTTAGTTGAGTTGAAGAGCTGCTACAGCAATAAGGCTGCAAACCCATCCTATTGAATTCAGTGGGGAGTGAACACGTGTGGGATTGCACTGTAAGAAGACTGCAGTCACAAATTCAATGCCAGTCTTAAGCAAGACCCAATTCTATTAGCTTCAGTCCTTCTGGCAGCAAGGCTGTTCAGGATTATGGAGAAACCATAGGAGCAGTAGTCTGAACATTTAAAATATGCTATGGAATGGTGGATTCTTATTAGCATAGGCTATGTTATCAAGAACAGCACACATGTAAGTTGACTGAGTTGACCCTAATTCTTAATAACGGTGATTCATGCCCTGGTAACTTCCTGGTTGGATTACTGTAACCCGCTCTACGTGGGGCTGCCCTTGAAAATGGTCTGGATACGTCAATTGGTACAAAATAGAGCTGCCAGGTTGCTGACAGGGACCGGTCGTTATTCTCATATAACACTGGTCCTTTATCAGCTACACTGGCTCCCAATTGAAGTCTGGGCCCAATTCAAGGTGCTGGTATTAACCTATAAAGCCCTAAATGGCTTAGGCTCAGAATACCTGAAGGACTGCCTCCTTCCCTACAAGCCATCACGCCCCTTAAGATTGGTGGGGGAGTCAGGTAAAGACCTTTTTATTCAACCATCATTTTAATAATTAAGGGTTTTAGATATTTTAAGATTTTTTTTCTTTTTCCTCATTCCACAGTTGTATTTTCTATTCTTTTTCTCCCTTTTTTTCCTAAGTTCACTATGTGTTGTTTAATATTGTTTTAATAATTGATGTTTTTACATTGTAACTTTATATTGTTGTAAGCCGCCCTGAGCTGCTCAGCGGAAAGGATGGGATATAAATGCTTGTAATTAATTAATTAATTAAGGTTACTACTAATAATTAGTAGTAGTGATTATTAATAATAATTTAGTTAATTTAATAACTACTACTAATAGTAGAAATAAGAATAACAACAATGTCCCTAGGCTTAACAAATGATGGAGAAGAATGGTTTCTTTCCCTGCAATCGAGTGTATGCCATCTTGAGATGGCACCCATTATGAAGAAAATCTTAACAAAGCAGTATATCATATAATTTGAGAGAGTAGCATTTAAGATTTATTTTAATTTAACTGTATCCATCCACGGGAGGAATACTAGTGGTATGGATTCACCCAGTCTGTGTATTCTTCCACACCTCCCAAAGCCTCATCAGCCTCCTAGCATATAGGACCACCATCCCCCCCCCAAAAAAAAAGCAGATGAGAGAAGCAGATTAGAAAAAGGGAAGGCCATTTGTCTGGTGTTGCCTACTTAAAATAATCTGCTCGAGCTGCCAAAACACAACTTTTGGGTGGCATACAGGGAATATAGGCACAATATAGGCTCCCTCCTTTGAGGGATAGAGGTGGGCTTGTGCTCTGTTCAGGAATAGCTAACAAACAACCTTGCTGGTCGTCGAGTTAAGTGAAAAGGACAAGCTGATTCCAGGAATAAACATCCATAGAGAATATGCCCCTAAATAATTTCTTATAATGAGCTACAAGTCTTTGTTGTGAGGCTTTGTCAGTTATGTGAAGGGTTTAGTCTCTTGTCATCATCTTGCAACAGTAGGTTAGAGTGGTTCTGTCAAGTGCCTCCTAATAACAATAAAAATCAATATATGTGCCTAACCTCCTCAGCTAGTAATTGACTTCTTACTGAAACTTATAGCCTAGACAAGACTCAGATTGTTCTGCCACAGTCTTTTAGGCCTCCAAACTGAGGCACAATATGGAAAACCCCTTGTAAGTTCTGTTAAAAATCATAAACATCACTCCAGACAGGAATAACACAAAACAGCCTGAAGAAATAGTTTTATATGTAAACACTAAAGGAAAAAACCATTTAAAAATATGTCCCTGGGAAAAATGGATACAAAATAGACAAATCATTCAGCTTCCCTTCCTACCTCCAGCCCACTCCCTGCCAATCCTGTATCTTCAGTATGCTGGGGAAAACAGGTTCAGCAAAATAAAATTTTAAAAAGCTAGACTTACAGGTATTAGAAAAAGCTCCTATGCACCCAAGCCCATATTTATTCTCAAAGTCAAGGTTAATTTGGGTTAACAAATCTCTCTCTCTCTCAAATATTCTTCATGACATCCACTTAATTGGCTTCCCAGAAACACAACCACTATGTAAGCCACGACTCTTAAACCTGTTAACAGTTAATACCAAGCACAGGTGTCTGGTGAAAATGCAAGCAAATTAAAACTGGTAATGAACACTTCTAAAATAATAATTCTTGTTATGCTGTAATCAAAGCCTATTAAGTAAGAGTACAACACTCTGTAGTGTTTCACAGACTGCCACTACATGCTGCTACATCCTTCTAAATGATAAAAATATTTTTAAATGGCAAAGTTCCTTGAAATTCTATGCTTAAGTAACTTGAAAACCAAAGCCACCTGTGTGTATATTACTAACTGCAAGCCCTTGAATTTATCTAACATGGAAGAGCTTGGCTCTTCTGCCCTGTGCCATATTTGAATTTGTTTGACATGGTCTAATCTTAGCACTCATGCATAATACGGTCTTTGAACATTTTCGAGACTATGCTATTACTCATGCTAATACTCTTGTTGAGCATCAAGATTGCCAGCGTGCTCATTAAGCGGCTTGTATAGTTTATGCATCACAACAGAGATACTAGCAACTTCGAGTCATGATACTGGCATTGTTCTATTATATAAGAACCTTTATGGTATCAAAAATTGTATGCCAGATCCATTTCAGTGCAGATGCGCAGAGACCAAAAGGCAGCTTACATGGGATTCAGGAGTCCCCTATACAGTCAGACTAAATCTCCCCACATCAAACCCTGGACTGAGGTCTGGAAAACTGACATTCCCATCCCAGAAAGGGATACAGCAACCATGTCCATCCCTCAGAATGACAACACTGCTGCTCGCCAGCCATGGAACAAGTGATTTGTATGTAGAAGGTCCTCGGTTTAACCCCCTGCATCTCTAGGTAGATTCCTTATGAATCTAAATCATATTATGAATATTCAGTGGAGGTGACAAATAGATTTAAGGTATTAGATCTGATAGAGTGTCTGAAGAACTGTGGATGGACATTCGCAACATTGCACAATAAAACAATTCCAAAGAAAAAGAAATGCAAGGAAGTAAAATGGCTGAGGAGGCTTTACAAATAGCTGAGGAAAGAAGTGAAAGGCAAGGGAGAAAGGGAAAGATACCCCCAACTAAATGCAGAATTCCAGAGAATAGCTAGAAGAGACAAGAAGGCCTTCTTAAATGAACAGTGCAAAGAAACAGGAAAACAATAGAATAGGAAAGACTAGAGATCTCTTCAAGAAAGTCAAAAAGCAATGTTTAAAACTGGACATGGAACAACTGATTGGTTCAAAATTGGGAAAGAAGTACAGCAAGGCTACATATTGTCACCCTGCCTATTTAACTTGTATGCAGTGTACATCATGCGAAAGGCCGGCTAGATGAACCACAAGCCAGAATTAAGATTGCCAGGAAAAATAACAACAACCTCAGATATGCAAATGATACCACTCTAATGGCAGAAAGTGAAAAGGAACTGAAGAGCCTCTTGATGCAGGTGAAGAGGAGAGCACAAAAATGGGCTTGAAACTCAACATCAAGAAAACTAAGATCATGGCATCCGGTCCCATCACTTCCTGGCAAATAGATGGAGAAGAAATGGAAATAGTGACAGATTTTATTTTTTTGGCCTCCAAGATCACCACTGATGGTGACTGCAGCCAAGAAATTAAAAGACGCTTGCTCCTGGGGAGGAAAGCTCTGGCAAATCTATTCAGCATACTAAAAAGCAGAGATATCACCCTGCCAACAAAAGTTCATTTAGTCAAAGCTACAGTTTTCCCAGATGTAATGTATGGCTGTGAGAGTTGGACCAAAAGGATGGCTGAGTGCTGAAGAACTGAGGGTTTTGAATTGTGGTGAGACTTCTGAGAGTCCCTTGGACTGCAAGGAGATCAAACCAGTCAGTCTTAGAGGAGATCAACCATGACTGCTCTTTAGAAGGCCAGATACTGAAGATGAAACTCAAGTACTCTGGCCATCTAATGAGAAAAAAAGGACTCACTGGAGAAGGCCCTGATGCTGGGAACAAATGAAGGCAAAAGGAGAAGGGGACAGCAGAGGGTGAGGTGGCTGGATGGCCTCACTGGGGAAGTGGGTGCGAACAACAATCTCTAGGTAGAGCTGGAAATGACCCCCATTTGAAAATCTCAAAATCAGTGCTGATTTTTGGACCAATATTATAACTCAAGTTTAGAGTAGCAGGTAGAAGTGGGTTTCATGTTCTTGTTGCTGCACAGGCCACAGCCTAGCTCCAGCAAGACTCACTGCATGGTCTAAGATGAAGCTGTATGATGTGGAGTGTGAGCCCACGTGGCTCACAGGAATAGAGAAAAATCCATTGGTGTGATATGGTTTGATACATTGGAATATACTTAGTCCAGCTACAGTGCAGCAGACTGGAGAATCCACAGAGATGATGTTGGCAGCTGACTACTGAGCATCCTTGCATGCTCAGTGTCTCCATGTCATGCAGAGGGCTAGAAGCAACCTTGTGCCCAGAATTTCCAGCAACCCAAAATGCTCAGCATTATACTTCCACCTTCAAACAAACATCATGCAATCTAACAATCATCATGCTAGTAAACTCAGCTGAACGTTGAAATGTCACAAATATTAAAGTTGTAGGTGCCATTTTACTTACTCTGTTGAGGTTGCTGCTGTTCAACACAACTGCTACAAGTCTTTTCATAGAGTCTTCCAGTTTCTTAAAACACTTGCCCAGAATTTGACTAGATACATCTGCATCACTTAACAGCTTGGTTATGACACAGACTGCCTGATGCATAACATCTGAAAAAGGCAATTCTGAAAGGCTGTATGAAGTAACGAGGCCATCGAGCAACTGAGAAAAAGAATCTGTTATTGTGGAGCAATCATTTCCAAGTTTTTTAAAGTCTGTTCTCAAACCGCCAGCCTCTGACAGTTTTTTTAGTTCAAGGAAATGTTGCAGGAACTGCATGTGAGAAACTACAGAGTCCCTCTTGCTGACACAAGAAGAAGTCAACAGTGGAAGTCGACTTGATGAAACATCAGATATAGAACTACTGCAACCACATTCCCTGAAGTTGAAAGTAGGTACGGTTTCCGGCACACCAGCTATGTAGTCGCTTGAGACATCGCATCCAGAATCTTCAAAATGGCCTGAGTAATCTTCAGTATTAGAAGGCAGCAGTGCCTCACCTACAGCATCTGGAGTTCCTGAAACACAAGAACAAAACCAGTCCATTGTGATGGACAGAGTGATGGACTTTGAACTGGGAGGTCTGGTTTCAAATCCCCACTCAGCCATGAAACTCACTAGGTGACTTTGGGTTATGAACCATCTCTTAGCACAAGCTACCTGTGAAAGATGTTGTGAAGTTACAATAAGAGGTGCTATAGAGAGTCATATGAGCAGTTGAGGGACCTGGTATGAGGACCAGCATATGAGGACCAAGGGATGCATTGTTCTGTGGCTCACACTCCAGCTGCTGGGTGTTGGAAATTGACAGACCTTCAGTAAAATGTGCAGGACGAAGCTAAGTGAGCAGAAACATACAAACACAACATTCAATTGCACCATTCATATAGATCTAAGATGTGCCAACCCACACTCCAATTAGACTTGAAAAACTAGACTGTTCTGGAAGAACAGGACGTCTTTCATGTAGTCAGAGAGACCCAGATTTTAAAATGCAAACAATTTCCTACCAAATGCGCCATTAAACAAAAATACCAAACCACATTTAACTTCCTGCCAGGGAATAGATTTACCAACACTTTCTCCAATTACACTGCAAATAATATATCAAAATGATACTAAGGTTTTCCATTACTCTTTGCTAGTTCACTATTTTAGGAACAGGAACACTGAAAGAGTTTGTAGTGTAATGTTGGTATGCTATTTTATTTTTTAGGGGGTTTTGGCCATATGCGTGCTAAATGTTTCCTTATTCCAATCCAGACCAATCTGTTTCTAAAAGCCTTCAATTAAAAATAGCATCTTTTGAATCATGTTTTTAAAAATGATTTAATCTTGCAGGCTATGCACCTCTTTTGTCATGAGTGTCTGTTATTATTACATGCTAAACCACACCTTGGCATTCTTGGTGAATTTATAGCCTGCATCTGATTTCAACATCTTTCTGCCTATTAGTGTTATTGCATTTATCCAACTGTGTGTTGTTTATACCAAGACTCTTCCTCTCTCAAACAAAGAGTGTTATAGTGTGCATAAACACTACATTAGTGTACGCTTGCACATTTCATTTAAGCTTCATCCATTCCATCAAAGAAGCAGGAAGGGGGTGACAAAGCTCACGCTGCTCTAAGGCAACTTCTGGGAACTGAGACAGCACCGATAAAATCACTTTTCCCTGCTCCGCAAATCAAATGTAAAGGCATGTTGCACAAGCAATTCTGCCCCTCGCTCTCTGAACTGGGAAGGCCTTATCAGTGCAGAAGGGTTAATACTATGCTTGCAAATGTCAATCAAGCGACGAAAAAAGTGCAAGTTCCTAACACTAAATGAAGTATCCATTTGTTTGACTGATTTGTACCACACCTTTCTACCAGAAACTGCACTTGAGACAGCTTACAATCATTCATAAAGACAACAATAAGCACATATATTTAAATATCATAAAACTATTTAAAACTATCAAAAACACATACCAGCAGCAGCATGAAAGCATCACACAATTCAACACACCCATCCACACACCAAAGGCCTACTTGCACGAAGGAGAGGTTGCCTACTGGTGAGAGGAGAGTGGAGAGGGGTGGAACCCAGCATCTCCCGGGGGCAGGGAGCTCCACAGCCAGAGGGAGGGTCCTCTTTCATGTTGCCACCAAGCGTGCCTCTAAAGGTGGCCATCTCCAAAGAGGGGCCTCTTCCCAAGATCTTAAGAACTGAGCAAGTTCATACAGGAGAAGGCAGCTTTTGAGCAGCCTGGTCCCACAGGCCATATTCTTGCAAAAGTACACTGTTTTCCCCCAAGCATTCTGTACAAGGACATGCTAGATGGGAAGTAGCATGGGTGCAGGCTTGTAAGTAACAGGTCTCGTTTGTAACCTGAAGGAATAATTTTACCAGGAGTTACCAGTCAAAGTGCTTTGGGGGAGGAGTGCTGAAAAAATATATATCTTTAGGCTTCATCCAACTTAGCAGTCTTATGTTGAAGGGAGAAAAATTTCAGCTGAGCAGCAGGGGAAAAAATCCTAATGGTCAAAGCAGTCAGATAATGGAAGCAACTGCCTAGGGAGGCAGTGGATTCTACTCCGTGGGAGATATTCAAGCAAAGACTGAAAAACTATTGGTCAGGGATTCTTTAAAATGGATTCCTGCATTAAGAAGGAAGTTCGACTTGAAGGCCAAAATGGGACCCTCCAACTTTATGAGTCTAGGACTCTAGACTGCATCTAGTCTGCTCTGTGCTCTGTGTTAGTTCTGTTCTAAGCAGGAACATTTTAAACAGAGTTTTTCTCACTAGTACTCAATCAAATATATTACTAAACGAGTTGTTTTCCTTAATCAGGTGGACTTTGTGTCCAGAAGTGCCTTCTGTCAGGTCCACGTGATTTCTCATCTATGTTCCTACTTGGATGAGTGGAGACTTGCTACAGAGACACATGCACTGATAACCTCTTGCCTAGACTATTGTAATGCACTAAACATATCGTGCCCTAAACAGCTTGGGACCAGGGTACCTGAGAGAGCGCCTCACTCCATATATTCCTACCCTTCCACTTAGATCCTCTTCAGAACTCCTTCTCCAAATACCCTCCTCTAGTGAGATCAAAGGGGAAAGGGCTAGGAGGAGCACATTCTAGGCAGTAGCTCCTAGACTCTGGAATTCACTCCTCAGGAATACAGTGGTACCTCGGCTCACAAACACCTCAGTTCACGACCAAATTGGGTTGCGAAAAAGATTTCGTAAAAATTTTGACTTGGCTTGTGAACTCTGCATTGGGTGGTGACCATGATCATGGTCATCCTCCCCCCCTGCCCTGAGTGGGGAGATGGCCACGATCATGCTGCGGGTGGGGGGGGGAGATGGCCCAGATTGCACCCGTCTTTCCTGCACAAGCACACCCATGATTGCGCCAGTCTTTCCTGCACGAGTGCAACCGCGATCTTGGCCATCTCTCCCCCACAGCACAATCACGCCTGTCTCTCCCCCCCCCCCCCAGCGCACCGGGATGATGGGAGCATGCAGCGACGACAGGCGTGATCGTGGTCATACCGGGGGGTGGGCAGGGAGATGGCAACCATCTTTGTTGTTCTTTGTCACTTTGCTTCACATTTTTCTGATTAAAAATAGTTACAGAACAGATTAACCTTATTTACATTAAACCTTATGGGGAAATTTAACTTGGCTCAAGACTAATTTGGGTCATGACCGGAGTCCTGGAACGGATTCAGTTCGTAAGCCAAGGTACCACTGTATATGGCTGGCAATAACTCTTCTTTCCTTTGGTGCCAGGTGAAAACTAATTTATTTAAACAAGCTTTTGGTTTATTTAATTTAATTTAATAATTTATTCTTTTATATTTGGTTACTTATTAATTATTTTAACTATATTTTGGTCAATTTACTCACTGTATATATTATGTTGTGTGTAGTTATATTTTATATATGTTTATTATTGTATCTATTTTATCTGTTTATTAATTGTTTTTATTGTATTCTATGTATGTAATGCTGCTTTAGCATTTGTTAGCTGCCCAGAGAAACTTTGGGCTATGGGGTGGCATAGAAATGGAAACAACTAACTAAATAAATAATCCAATCAATCCTTTCCCAAAATCCTTTCCTTTCCCATCACATCCTGTCTGAAAAGTCCTTTTCAAAAATCCAATTCTTAACACTTCTGATTTATTCTTGCTGTTGATTGCTTCTATATCAAGTTGGTTATTCTTTGTTAGTAGTTACATATAGGTTCCACTTCCCTTATCCCCTACTTCCCTCCCGCAACTTTGGGACCAGTTTTTAAGTGCTTTTTGCTTTTAAATTCAGTGTTTAAATCTCAGTTCAGTTTCTGTGTGTCTGGTCTTAGACAAATGACATACTTTGTCTTACAGAGTTCTTTTTAGCAGGTGTGTACAGAGGAATAAGAGTGAGAATACTCGGTACAACAGATATGTGAACAGAGTGCATTGGATATCGTGTGCACGCAAGAAATGGCTGGTACGCATTAAAGTACTGCACACTAGGTGCCATTTTTCTTTGTGTGTCATGCCAAAAGGAATAACTGGGTTAAGTCCCACACAGGGGTGAGCAGCATGCTGCCAGTGTCCCTCAGTGGTCATTGGTGTAAACCTCCACGTCTTCCCCCTGCTGTTGCCTTCCCATAAATTCTCAGCTCTCCACTGCTACCACTGCATAGGGATATCGCTGCCACCACTCTTCGGCTACCTCTGTCCCCTCCTTTCTCTCTTCCCCTCCTTGCCAACAGCAAAAGCACTGTTGCTGCGGCCACCCCACATCCTCTGCTTCCACATCTTCTGCTTTCCTTCCTGTGAGGTCAGCCTTCCCTGTGAAGGATACTATGTTCTGCGTTCCCTCTCAAATCGCATTATTGCTCCCTCTTATTATTCTTATTAATATCCTCTGAGAATCATAGAAGGAAGGCTTTATACTTAGTAATTTGGGGAGTTTACATCATATTGAACACTTACACAAATACAAGAATTCCTAATACTAAACCTGAAAATTTCAAGAAATGCTACCATCTTCAGCAGAAACAGTAAAGGGAAATTATGTAAGAGCAGATTCTTCTTCCTCTACTTTGATCTAGCTGAATTAATAACTCAAAAGTAATTCCAAACTAAAAGGATTTTTCAAGATACAGCCCAATGGATGGGAAGAAAAACGGTGGCAGAATGCTTTGAAAAGAAGATTGTCCTAAATGGGGTTGCACTCCCTCTGAGGGACAGGGTTCGCAGCTTGGGAGTGCTCCTCGACCCTGAGCTGTCTCTAGAAACTCAGGTGACTGCGGTGGTGAGGAGCGCCTTCCTTTAGCTTCGGCTGACACATCAGCTGCGTCCCTTCCAGGAGAACGACTGCCTGGCGACAGTGACACACGTGCTGGTAACTTCCCGATTAGATTTCTGTAATGCACTCTACGTGGGGCTACCCTTGAAGATGGTCCGGATACTTCAATTGGTGCAGAATAGAGCTGCCAGGTTGCTGACGGGGACTGGGCGTTGTTCTCATATAACCCCAGTTCTCCGTCAGCTCCACTGGCTCCCGATTGAAGTCCAGGCCCAATTCAAGGTGTTGGTTATGACCTATAAAGCCCTAAATGGCTTGGGACCTGGATATCTAAAGGAACGCTTGCGCCCATATATGCCCTCCTGCCCCTTGAGATCAGCAACGGATGCCCTTCTCCGGGAACCCTCTGTGAATGGTATTAGGAGGGTGAGTACCTGGAGGAGGGCTTTCTCTGCGGTGGCACCCCATCTATGGAATGTGCTCCCCAGAGAGGTCCGCCTGGCACCAAAAAACAAATAAAGACCTTTTTATTTAAAACTTATTTTAATTGCTAAATTATTGTATTTATTAGGATTTTAAATTAGCCGAGAATGCACCGCCGGGGGTTTTAAATGTTTTTCTTCTTTTAAATTGTTATATTGTTATTGTTTATGTATTTTTTGTGAGCCGCCCCGAGGCTTTGTTGTGATGGGGGTGGCATAGAAATGTTTTAAATAAATAAATAAATAAATAAATAAATAAATAAATAAGATTGCACTTCACACAAGCTATGATTGTTTGGATTGCATTACTCAGTTAAAGACCCTCTAGAAATATTACGTACTAGAAGTTCATCTTTACATGCACATTTTTCAGTTCAATGAAATGGGGAAAGGCCACATTTTGACAGCTACTGACTGCTCTTTAGAAGTGTCCAAGCAACATATGGGCAGAGCTGTCACTTTTTCATACCTTGTAAAGCTGCTTTTCTCAGTTGGACTTGCATGTGCGTACTTTTTCAGATCCAAATAGGCAGCCTTCCCTGACCTCAGGTGTGTCTGTTGTCGAAATGCAACAGGCAGCTTCCATGAGCACTGGCCAAAGTGGTTTATTTTTCACTTTAGTTTTCTTAGGCAGCCATCAAAAGCCAAGCTGTCAAAAGAAACCAAAGCCACAAATGATCTTTGTAAAACAAGAGTGGCCATTTGATCACTCCCTTTGTGGCATGATATTCTAGGCCATTTATCTGGACCTAACCCTTGGCAGTTTTTTCATGTTTTTCCATCCTTTTCCAAAATTCTGAGTGCTCAGGAAAGTGAAAAGGTGTGAGATAGCCTTTACCAAAGGCACAGACCTCCTACAGCTAGTTGTTGAAATCCCATTCTGTTTAAAAGAGTAGTTTTTCTTCTAACAAGGCTATCATTTTTTACTTTTTTTGGATGGATATAAATGCAGCCCCGAATGTGTATGTCCAGCTACTTCCCTATAGCCACAATGGGATCAGTCACAGACAACAAGACAACCCACTGTATATACAACCCCCAAAACAAGCCATCTTGTTGGAGACAATCACAACAGCCCATCGTGACTTGTCACTCATGATGGGCTGTTACACTGTACACAAACCAGACCTGAATCTCAAGTCCAACCTCATGTGGTAGGAAAGGATATTCCTGAAAAGAGGCAACAGGATCTCAAAACACACCAGTAGATATGCTTCCCAACAGACATACCTTTTGCCTTTCTTGAAAGTGCATAATGTGTTAGAAGAATACTATATAAGTGGCCAAGATCTATGGAAGAGAAATTTTCATTCAATGGCAGCTATACATGATAGCCCAAATTCATTCCAAACTGACATTAATAACTTAAAACTTACTATTTTCTCCACGTAATCCTGGGAAAAATGTACTCAAAAGGAGCTGCTGCCTTAAATGAAGAACTTCAGCTTCTAACACTTCAGCTCTCAATTTCCACTTGGAATCTTGTCTGGAAATTATTTTAGCCAGGTGCTCTGCATATTCTTTGCTGCTTTTATCTGGTGGCTTTGAACGGATAATAGCTAAAGCCAGTGCTAACTGTGATGTTTTCAAGTACCACGTCATGTCGTCTCTATCTTTCATTTCTGCCAGAGTAAACAAACAAAAAAAAAACTTTAGTGTTTTTCCCCTGTCAAATTATTTTACACACTTAAAGGTAATATTCTGAAAGGAGAACAGTTTTGCTAGTCTTAGCAAAGCCACAGCTTTGCCACATAGCCAAATATAAAATAACCAAATGTAAAAGAATTAAAAATTTAGAAATCTCAACAATATAGTATCAAGCACAAAATGTAGTCTGATAGTTTGAAAGGATAAAGATAAAGGTAAAGGTTTCCCCTTGACATTAAGTCCAGTCATGCTTGACTCTAGGGGGTGGTGCTCATCTCCGTTTCCTAGCCAAGGGAGCCAGCATTTGTCCGCAGACAGTCTCCAGTGGTCATGTGGCCGGCATGACTAAACACCAAAGTGCACAGAATGCTGTTACCTGCCCACCGAAGTGGTACCTGTTTATCTACTTGTATTTGCATGCTTCCGAACTGCAAGGTTGGCAGGAGCTGGGACAGAGCAACGGGAGCTCACCCAGTTGTGCAGATTCGAACCGGTGACCTTTCAATCAACCAGCCCAGCAGCACAGCGGTTTAAACCACTGCGCCACCTGCAGTCCTCATTGAAAGGGATAGTGTAAATCAAAAGACTCTCTAGTAACATGTGCCACAGTGAATGCCCTATTTCCGTTAAGGTATAGAAGCTACTAGTTTCTCTGAAAATTAAGTTCCATCAAATTCAGTGGGAAGGTTGCTTGCTAAAGAGTTTGGAAACTGTGTCTTATTTATTTATTTTTTATTTAAAGTTTTTCTATGCCGTCCCATTACTAAAAGTCTCTGGACAGCTTACAAAGACCAAAAAGCAAAAAAAATAATACTCAACGCAATGCATCCAATAAATAATGATAAAAACAAGGATAAAACCAATTAATTGTTAAAATGACAGGAAAATAAAAAGGTTTTTGCCTGACGCAGAAAAAAATAGAATGAAGGCACCAGGCAAATCTCCCTGGGGAGGTTGGGCAGTGACTCTGAGACATAGTGGAAAAGATGTGGGATTGCAGGGGTGTGCCTCAGGGACCCCCTTTCCTTCAGTCTGCCTGAGTTAAGTCACCATGAGTCATATGGAGAATGCAACCAATGACATGGTATGACAATCAATTCTGCCTGAGGCTGGGGACTCAACATATTTAAGTGCTGAACTTAAATTTACAGATTTGCCACTTTACCTTGCTTTTCTGAAAGGTCCTAGATATGATGTACGTGGCATTTAAGGACATGGGGCAAGCAATAGTTGAATCCACTGCTTGAACTGAGTCCATGTACCAGGGGTCTGAAAAAGGGGTAATCTTCACCATCTGAAATAACCTAGTATCCTAGGACAAGGGTGAATTTGCACAAATCACCGCTTGTGTCAGCGTTTGCAAGGCGTGTCTGAATGCGTATTTCAGGAGACTGGCAGAACATAGGGAAGGCTACAGAATTCTAACATAAGGTTTCTATGATAGTGGTTCCAAGGTGGTGCCCAAAATTTTGTTGAAGTTACCCACAAACATTTTAAACAAAAGTTTTTAGGACAGAAATTAAAAATAAGCAAACACTGTCAATTTATTATATTGTATTATACAATATGCAACAAGAAACTTGCAGGCATATATAAGCCTGTCTTGATCCAAAAGGTTTTAGGGGCAGTATTGTTATCAGCGCCTTTGGTGAAACAGGACCCCGGCTTAATCCTTAAGTGATGACCAACTACAGCAACTAACAGCACAATCCTATAATGTCTCTTCAGATGTAAGTTCAATACATTATCATTTTTCTCCAGTCACTTTGAGCCCTTTCCATCCCTAACTGGCAAAAGATGCAAACACAGATTGTGTATTGTCAGCATTATGGTTAAGGCTTTTTTTTTTTTTCCAGTGAAGCCTCCTTAGCACAGGTAGTCATTAAGACTTCACCTCCAGGAAAGCCAGTATAGAACAGCAGCCATTTAACTGCATCCCCAAACTTCTTCTCTGTTTTAAATGTCTATGACATCATCCACACAATGTCAAGTACAATGAAGACTTCATAATTATCTGGAATCACAGATCTTTTTTCCTTGCCAGTTTTGGAGTGATACGAGATGGAGATTTTCCTGCAAATCACCCTGCGTTGTTTATTATTGTATCAGAGGTTCAAATACCATCATCTGTAACCTCCTAGGTTTTCCCACTTGTTCTTCTATCCTTTTCTTTCCACAATGAATCCATTAAGGAGAACAGCTGCCCACTATACTCTGACCGGAACTGCCATGAGCCCTCTGTCTGGTAGCATCTTTGCTCTATTCCTGCATGGTTCTAGTTCTAGTTCCAAACCAGAAGCTGTGAGTTATCTTTCCCCCCTTTTACTATGCAGGACTCTGGTAAAATGTCAACAGTTTCTTTTTCTCAGGTTTCCCATAACAACATTTTGAAAGCAGAGATCATCTGTATCCATCCATAGTGATGACAGATATATTCTATCCCAATCATCTCCTGATATTAACTGCGGTGATAATTTCATTCCTTTGGCGGTGGCCAACATTCCTCAAATAATGTGAATGTTAATGTCATGAGCAGGTCTCTCACCCACCTCCTTTCCCCCTCCAGCTGATTAGGGCAAGACTTAAAAAGTCACACCATAATAAGTGGTAATGTTGGGAACTGGGTTCCTTCCTTCTTCCTCTGAAACGACAGTACTTTTTCATTAAATGCTTTATTTCCAATGTACAAGCTACAGTCAACAGAGCAAGAGTCTCTGAACATGCATAGGGAGCAGTCTGTTGAACCCAAACTAGAAACTATTTCTGAGAACCCCTTTTTCCTTAACTGTGGAATCTACACCAGTGCATGTGCCACTCTGGAGAAAGGCTAGCCTCCTAGATCTACAAAGGCCCTCTAACTGGTTAGCCCCTCTCTCCTTAAGCTGCATCATGGGATCAAGGACTGAACCTGGCACATTTTGCTTCTCTCCCATGGCTCCCCCCTGCACTTCCAAACCCTGTTGGATCCCAGGCACTGACTGAACACCTGGAAATGGTGACTTTGAGATACCTTCTTCCTCCTCCTCCACAACCACGGCCACAGTCCCCGTCTCCCAGCCTTCATAGTTCCCACCGGAACAGTCAGTGCCACCATGACCCTGGAAAAAAATCCAGTAACTGCCTCCTTCATCCCCAACACGTTGATCTGGAGTTGATTAAACATGAAGCAGTCAAATCAGATATTTAAAGATCCAGGAAGGTGATACCTACCAAACAGATCAGTTTTAGTTACGTACTTCATGATGTCATTAACAGTCCTTTTGGAGAACCCAAGTCAAATGGGATAGTTCAGAATTACACTCAACAGATGCTACTTGTTCTATGCATGTATCTTATGATAGAATTGCTATCCCTGAAAAGGGGTTTGGGGATGTTGACGTTCCTGCATTTGCAGCCCCACAGAAGATGGCCAGTTTGAGAGATGATCTCCAGACAGTGAAACCTTTAGTACCTTACAACCTAAGTATTCTGACAAAGGCTCCTAGACTACTAGATGAGTGGGTAAGATATCCAGCTTCCAAATAACTGAATACACAACTTTCAAAAAACACAAAATAGTATGTATTTTGGGGAGGGGGGGAGGAAGAGTCAAGCCACTCATCAGCACTTACAGGAAATATTCAAGCACATGAGCACAGCAATTGCAATGGCAATAGGTACACTAACTGCAGAAAAGGCTAAGCATCTGCTGCTGGGAAAATACTATATTCACACAACAGAAAAACAATCCTGGGGGAAAATGCAGCACATTTATTCTACTAAAAGGCAATCATTCAGAAAAGCTCTTAATGTCATACAACACAACCCTTCTTAACCTCCAAAAGGTAAACAATGAAAATAGTCTTTTCATTACATATTGAAGAAAGATGGCAGTCTCCTTGATGGGAGCTATGGAACCAAGCAACCAGAAGACAATGCATCTGAAATGGTGTTTTAACAAACTATTTCTCAATATTTTAGAAGTACAGATTCTATGGGCAGCATTAAAACAGCATTTAAGTTGTAATCTTATGCAAATTTTCTTGCAGGTCCCAATGAACTCAGTGAGTCTTATATCTCAGTAAACATGTTAGAATTGCAAAATAGTTAATAGTTGCTTCAATTCTGTCAAAATTTTCACCTGGTAATTTTCTGATTGAATAGAATCATAGGGCTATCATGCCACAGGTATACTTCTGTAATGATTTAAAACTTTTGTGCAAAACCAGTGGGGGAACTGGGTGTGAAGGGTGATTTGCCCTAGGTTGGCAAGAATTTCTGGCTCTCAATAGTTTAACGAGAACAGTAACAGAAGCCCTCACCCCTACCCAGATTATACTGCCAAAAAGAAGAAATTGTGTTTGTTGCCATTCTTTGAACTTATTTATCTGATTCTCAAACTAAGGTGTCCAGACAACAGACTTCTATGTGACAGGTTTTTTTAAAAAAAGGTAAGAACTGAAGTCAGAAGTCTCCTTTCTGACTTAGATCTGTCTTTAAGTACATTCTTTAAAAACAAAGTGAAAATGGAGGACATTGCACAATTTTCTCCTTGTTTACTCCACCAGCAACCTAAAATTTTGGAAGGTTGCCCCATCTTCCAGAATAGAATTTGAGGGTGCATGGAGCCTGCACAGACCAAGAGAATTGTCCTTCTCCTGGTTCATCTATGGAAGAAGTTCTGTTAGCAGAAGAACTTAGACACCATCCATAGTTGTGAGCACTTCAATACGACCACTCTGCATGCAAGTTGGTGGAGTGGAAGATATGTGTTGGAGGAAGAACTGAAGGGGCAAGTTAAACAGGATGGGATTTGATGAGGGATGAGGATCTAAATCTTTGTCCTATACACTAACACCGGACTGCATTTCAGGAGTACCATCAGCTACTCTGTCAGTACTACCCTCCAACCTATACAAAGGGTATAATGGTTCAGCATACTGCAGGGTTGTTATATACTATGCTCACCTCAATCTGCAATCTGGGGATAACACAATGAAATACACTGCACAACTGTCATAAACCACGCTCTCCAGGGACAACCTCTTCCGAAACATAACAATGCAGTAAACTTGTTATGGAATTTAAATTAGCAGGATTAAAAAATCCCCTAAAGAATAATGAAAAGCTTTTTACCATTTTATGATGACTTTTCAGGGTGTGTGCACGCATGCTTGCACGTGCGTGTGTGCACTGTTACCTAATCAGATTCTCAGCTATATCCAAATACTGAATCTCGCCATTGATTTCTATCAGCAGCTCTCATTTCCATTTGTGAGACATTTTAAAAAGCTTCTCAGTGTTACCTTGAATCAGGAAATGACCTATCAGACAATGAAATGGTTCTCTCTGCATACTCTTTTTAATGTTTGCCTCTCTTCCTTTCCTCCTCCCTTTTGTAGCCACTTCACTCTATTCCCGTTCTTACCAGGCAGTCAATCTTTCCCCTCCACTTCCCCATCTTTCCATGTTCTGTGCCCCTGCATCCTTCCTGGGGTGTTCCAAAGGTTCTCCCTTAGTCCTACAAGGAAACACTGAATGACCCAAGTATGTTTAGTCCTGAGAAGACTGTGGGGTGAGGGGTGGAATTCACAGCAGTTTCAAGTATGTTGAAATGGTTGTCCCACAGAATGAGGCTGCAACTGTAGGACATGAAATAACAGGCTCAGGTTACACAAAGGCGGCAGGAAAACAAAACAAGACAAAAAAAAAAAATCCTCACAGTCTGAACAGACAGAAGATGGAACCAACCACCCAGGGAGGTGGCAGGCTCTCTGTCACAAGTTACCATCAAAGACCAGTCAGCTATCTGTCAGGTATGCTTTAAACTGGATTCCAGCATTGAGCAGTGGGTTCGACTTAAAGGCTTAAACAGCTTCTTCTGTTTCTATGAGTCTCTGATTCTAACACGTGGACATCAGGGGTGAACTGCAACATCCGGTTGTAGGGCCCTGCTTATTGCCCTACAACAAGACAACTCATACTGCCACACGATAGTGATATTCTGTTTTCAAGTAAACGCACACGTGTGAATTTTTACTCTACTCAGAAATGGAATGGCTGAGTATACAGCTTGCTGCTGTGGTACCTGAGTACTTGACTATCAGCACTGAAAAGCAGTTTGCCATTTAGGTAATTACCTAGGGCAGCTGCTATTCACCCCAGGAAAGTGGTATGTTATTTAAAAAATTCTTTTAATTTATTAGTATTTTTATACATGATTATAGCTGCTGGTCTGCAGGCTGGAGTGAGGGGCAGGAAAGTATGTCAGTCAAGATGGCACTCTGCAATTTGAACTGAACATTTAGCTGACGTCTGCTAAATCTGAGATATCCTTTAGGTGCAGTTGTTTTCTTTGGGAACAATAAACCAGAATAACACTATTTTCCCGTGACATTAAATGTTCAAATGGAAGGAAAATATGTATTGCCTCTCTAGCAATAACCAAGGAAAGGTATTTTGAGGAACAACATCTAGTGAATTTCAAAGGTTTCATTTCCTCCCAATTCAATTTCCTTTCAGTGCCCTTATAGAAAGAGGCTTTTTATACTTTATATTTTTTCTAGAAAGGGAAATCGGAGCTATTTGAGTTTTCAATTTGGTTGGTTACTAAAGTACCTGTAATTTTTCATGGCCTGTGTCAGGGTGTCTTGATAGCAGCCACAATGAATAAACAAATTCGGTGGGGAAGACCCCTTTTACCTTGAATTCAGCAGGTTATTGAAAGTTAACACAGGCGCCCTCTACAGAGAACGCATACTTACAACAGTGCTGCTGGGTAGAAGCCAGACCATCTAAAAGCTTTTAGAACACATACTGAGTGTTTTATAGGTTCTGAGTCACATGTGCCCAGCAGCTGGGCAGATGATGACAAAATACAGGGAATGAAGTCAAGAATGTGAGATCTGCAGAGGGGACTTAATACAATAAGGTTTGATTACAGGAGACTGACATAACCAACCATGAGTCATTGCTGGTCTTGGCTATCAGTTTGAATGTGAATTTATCAGGCCAGATAAGCAGCACAAAAGCCTAAATGCAGTAAACTTTACAAGTGAATGTAGTAGCTGCCAGAGTTCCAATCTCTTAAGGTAACAGCAATGCTAAAGAGTAACCTGGCTTGGAATTTAGGTGCTTTCTGAGAAAGGGGTTCACATACACTGCAGGTTTGATTTTATAATGCAAGGCACATATAGGCAATCCTTTCCCACCAGGAAATGTTTAACATTTAGAAAAGGAGATGCCTTAATGCAGCAAGGTATTCTTCACTATTTTGGGTTAGTAGGTGGGTTAGATGGTGAGCTATAGTTAAATTCTTCTTTCTGTTGTTCAGATGCTAACTGGTAATAGAAACAGTTTCATTTAAATCTTTAAATAGGAATTAGCAAGGACAGTCCTTCAAACAGAACACTGTCCTCTGTGAAACATGGCATATAACCATTTTACAGTATTAACATTCTTGTACTTACTGCATTCAGCATGATGCCAGAATTCATAGAAACATAGAAACAGAGCAAGTCAGAAGGGGCCTCCCAGGCCATCTAGTCTGACAGCCAGCTCCGCTCACGACATGCCCACCATGTGCATGTCCAGCCTATGCTTGAACACCTTCACCGATGGGGCTTCAACTACCTCCCCAGAAGCCCATTCCATACTCTTGGTTCCTAACTGTCAGGAAATACTTCCTGGCATCCAAATTGAACCTTGGTTCCCTGAGCTTGGCTTTGTTGGACAACTGGACCACAGCATTTCAATAGAACAAATTAGAAGTGTGTGGGGAGAGGTATTTGTTTAAATAAATACATCCATATATGCCCGACCGCCCCTTGAGATCTGCAGGAGAGGCCCTTCTCCAGGAACCCTCCGTGAAAGAAATTAGGAGGGTAGGTACTCAGAGGAGGGCTTTCTCTGCGGTGGCACCCAATCTATGGAATGTGCTCCCCAGAGAGGTCCGCCTGGCGCCGTCGTTATTTGTTTTTCGGCGCCAGGTGAAGACCTTTTTATTTAAACGTCATTTTAATTGTTAACAGTATTTACTTATTTATCTGGCCAGGGCGACTTCTTTTCTTTTATTTTATAACTTTTCTAACTTCTTTTATATCGTTTATATTTTTTATTTATTTTATATTATTAATTTTAATTTTATATTGTTATTTTTGTATTGTA